GGGAAGTCGAGAGGCAGAGGTCGGGTTCGAACCACGGACGTTCCGATCAGTAAATTCGCGCTCTAACCACTGAGCCATCTCGCTGTGTTGTGGTGGCTGGCTTCCAAATAACTCGATGTCGTGAGTATTTTTGTTGGAAGTTCGTACTGGCTAGGCACAGACGATGACCTGCACACAAAGAATCCGCTCATCTCGCTGTGTTGTGGTGGATGGCTTCCAAATAACTCGATGTCGTGAGTATTTTTGTTGGAAGTTCGTACTGGCTAGGCACAGACGATGACCTGCACACAACTGAAGAATCCGCTCCCCATCATCCGTACCCTCGGTATCGACTCCAAATCTACGGTTTAACTGTGCTTCTTAAGGACCTAGTCGTATAACTTGGGCAGTCATATCACCGGCCAAGATTACAATATCCGTCCTTTTTGGCGATCGAAGCAGTCGTGACAGATCTTGGTAAAACTTGTCCTTCTCTAACTCAGAACTGCAGTTTGTTGGGGCATATGCTGATAGGACACCGTTCACCGCATCGACTTGCGTTAATCTTGATCGAGCCAGACAATCGCACAGCGCAAAGGCGACTGTCTGCTGGGATCCAGTCAGATAAGGCGCTTTCAGCCTTAATTCTGAGCAACTCCCACACCACACATACCATGGCCTCCTGATTCAAGATCACCAGATACCCGAAGAGTGAATTATGTAACACCTGAGCTCGTCCAAAGTGGCTTGGATGCACCAGCGAAGGTGGGGTCTTGTATGCATGTTCCGAAGACAACATATATCGACAGATACAAAAAGCAAGTTTTCAGCAAGAGATGCCTGTTGCCAAATTTGACATAGAATGCGGACAATGAAGGCTGAAACGTGAATCAGAACTCTTGAGGTTAGTAATCGATTGTTTGGCTATGGTCTAGACACGGAACAATGAAGGTTAGTAAGCGATTGTTTTGGTTTATTTTTGGAGGCTATGGTCTAGACACGGAACAATGGCTAGGCGATTGGCAAATGGGTACATCGCACTGCAACATTTGATGGGTGGGGAGGAATGTGAAAAAAGCCAATGAGCGATCAGCTGCAAGGGCGGATGACACTTCTCGGTTGTCCAAGCCGAAGAACGAAGTTGTTTGAGGTACCCCCACCTTGAGCCTTCCTCAAAAGGCAGTGGGAGGATGTAGAGTTTTGCTCGGGGACCTTGACCTTAGCCTCTCATTCAAAAGTCCGAGAAATCACGGTTCTTCGTCGGGCTGCTTATCGTTGGCCATCCTGGTAAGGCTGAACCTTTGTGAATTGAGTTCCAGACAGTATAGTCCATCGCAGCACTGAAGCAGCACAGCTTTAAGTAGGGCGAAAGTCATCCAGTCCTTCAGCATGTACTTCGCACACATAAAGTGTAAAGTTATTTTACGGAATGTACCTTCTTTGAAGGGGCGAGATGACCCAGGTAGTTAGAGCGCGAAATTACTGACCGGGAGGTCCGTGGTTCGAACCCAATCCCTGCCTTTCGGTTTCCTCTCTCTAGGTTTGGGCAGCGTGGTAGTATCCCAGCCCTCGTGCAACCTTCGGGTGGCATGGCACTTAGGCACCGAAAGGGTGCTACAGCTGAACGAAGACAGCCTTTGAACAGTCAGAGCGAAAACAAAGCTTAGGCAGCCATGTTTACCGTCAAGAAGCCGTGAAAGATGCCCTGCAACCGTCAGTTAACCTTATTGTGTTTGACGCAGCAAAAGGAATCCTAGTGTATTATTCCGGTCGTCTCCAGAGATGAATACAAGTCCCCTAACAGCCTCGAGCACGCTGATGAACTATCGCTCTTCGCAATCTAGGACCAGAAACCATTGTAGTTGCAGCCAACTCCCCGAAATCATTAGTGAACTGTATGGCGACAGAGGCGTTTTAAATTCCCGGTGCTGCGTGCCTGTGCAAAAGGTTAACTGAAGCCTGCATTCAATCAAAACGACACAATACATGTGGTTAAGAGGTGTTCTGTTCCGCAGAGCGTACTTAGCCCTTATGTGGTTCAACAGGCCGTGCTCGAGCAGTTAAAGGATGGTCACCGTGTATCAAACGAAATGAAGGCACTTGCTTGAAACTAAGTACATCGACCCGTGTTTAACTCGCAGATCAAGCAGGTCTCACGTCCAGACTTCCAGTGCGGTGCATCCGCCAAGTCGATTGTTAAGATTTCAGCCATGGACGCTGTTGAATGAACCTTGGTCAACACCCCATGCCGAATATGCAGGTGCACTAGGTGGTCCACATTTCTTGACTGAGGCGATGAAGGAAGACTAGTCCAGTGAATAACCTCACGAGTGCTACTGGAGTCCCAAAAATTAGAGGACTGTTCAATGGCCTTGGAACTCTGAGAGTTATGTGACAAGGTTCCTCAGATCACCTCAGTAGCGGATCTGATGGGAACATCAGAAAAACAATGCTGAAGTACGCCCGGTGGTTTTTAGGTAGTTTCACTCTCCGTCAACAGGTTAGCGGGTCATACTACACAAGCAATATATTTCGTACGTCAGAGGACCGTCTGCCTCATAGGGCCCTCTTCGTCCGGGAGAAGTAAGTCCGCGAGGAGGTAAGTCGATTAGTTAGCAACGAAGCTTGGAAAGCCCTACCGGTCAACCTAGTCCTGCTTGTAACTGTTGTCTAGCCAGATAAGGGGGCCGCGTGACAACTTAACGGTCAGCGACGCTGCTAGATATGGCTGCGTCACGTAGCCAGTGGCGGGCTTGCATCAGAGCTATAGACTGCACTGTGTAGCTTTTTCTTTCTGCCAGACTGCCCTCCTCAAGTGTCTAGAAGCATATCTGTTGGAACCAAACTACAGGAGACATAGACTCGTGAGGGTTGTTGCCGAAGACGTGAATCCATCTCAGCTCCGCTGCTGTAGAACCGTATGTGGACATAAATGTCCCTTGGGGTTGAAGGATATACCGTATTTCGGGGATACTGCAGTGCACTCCGTCGCCGAGTAGCATTGTCAAGGGGTAAATGCTGGTGGCCTAACAGCCAGGCGGATTAAAGCTAGCAAGGTGGGGTTTGAAGAAGGCAGAAGAGGTGCAAGAACACGTAAAATTCCTTAGTTGCCCAGAGCAACAATCGCGGTTTTTCGGACGTAACCTACGTCGTGTGACTCAACTATGATGCATATGAAGATCAGCCAGGCGCAAGAATTGATTCTAGAACCCAACTCTAAATAGTTTAAGTCAAAACGTTTATTCAGACTTAGGATAAAAAGCCATGACGAGTCTATAGGAACACCAGGACTCGAAAATAAAAGGATCCTACCGTACTTACACTGGATGGGTCCCGTTTGTCAACAATTATGATTTCCGACTTCTTATTCTTGCCCTCGACAAACGTTTCGTCCGTCGTGAACATTAGCAGATTCCCACAGAATGATATTCCACATGTGCGGGCAGGTGCATCATTCTCAAAGTCCTCAATTTGTTTGCCTATTGTCCACATTGTGAAAATCTAATACAAACGCGTGAATACCTGTCTCAATGTCCCAGAGTTTACAGTGATAGTCACCAGAAGCTGTGAGCAAATTTTTCGTCGACCAGTCAACATCAAGCCACCAGATAACACCGTCGTGACCATGAAAACTGCCTAGACGTTCACCGTTGGCACTAAACCAAACATTTGCTACTGAGTTCTTAGCTGCTGTAAAGATCAGATCGCCATCTCGATTATAGCACAACCTTGTAATGGGACGTTCGTGTCCGTTGAGAATAATGGGTCTCTAAAACATGAACATCTGTGAGAAAAACATGCAAACCAACCATGCCCGCGGAACTTCGAAAAGCGCGGTTTAAGGACGTTTAGTGACCTTGAAATACTTCAGAAAAAGACCATTGAGATGTCCAGGCACGGGCTGGGAACTAAAGTTCGTAATAACTCGACGGATTTCGCACGGTTTTTGTTTTCACTGCGAGGACATAATAATACAATTTTGCTTTCAGACAACATGACCTATGTTCACAGCTCTCCAAAGTATCCTAACCAATGATAGTTGAGGTTTGGGATGTCAGCGTCCCTAAATAGCGCACCTCCGAGAAAAGGGATAGGTAAGCCCCAGAGTCCGTGGAGGAATGTGAGCACTGCTTTCCTTAGCAAGCAAACAAATTGATTCCGACACTAATGAACTCCCGGAACTTAGTATACCTCGGGATTCTACTTCTGCCGTGTAATATTATTTGCGATAAAATTATCGTTCGAACTAACTACGGGCCTGTTAGCGGAAATCAGAAGTACATCCTGGGAAAAAATGTATATGAATTCCGTGGAATACCTTATGCACAGCCACCCATAGGAGACCTCCGATTCAAATATCCAAAGAAGCTAAAACCATGGAAAAATATTCATGATGCTTCGTCATATGCCAATTCTTGCATCCAACCAAATCCGGTTACTTGTGAGTTTCAGTTTATTCGGTTTAATTCGGCCTCCATTTTGTTTTGGTCAGCTTAGTTCTGATGAAATATCTTTGCTGTCCATTACGACACATTCTCTTGAATAGAGGTCTTTTCGAGCTTTCTACGTCCTCTACAATTCGGTAACTAATTGTGTCTCGCTCCTATCGGTTGCTACCTCAGTTAGATTGAGGGTCCTATGGAAGAACTGAATGGCAGATCAACCCTGAACAGATAGTTGTATTGTTTAATTTAGGGTAAAGCAGCTTATTGGAACAAATTCCTAATGGGACCATTTCAGCATTATAAACTACGGGAATTCATGATGAGTAAGCGCTGTGGAAAAGTTCCATATAATGTGAGCTTGCCACCCCTGTTCCATAATGATTTTTCAAGTTGCTAGCGAGCCTCTCTTTTCCACTTCGAATGGTCGCTTAGAACTGAAAAAGTTGCTTTCAATGTGTGATGGTACAGTACTTGTGGCATGGGATTACTTGTGTCATCAGGAAGATGCTCCAGTTTGCGCTATCCTCAAACTATCCGTTTCATTTTCTTCATACTTACTCCGCCGGACAAAAAATTGTACTTGCACGTCGGGCCTGACCCAATGCAATGGGTACTGAACTATCCGTTTCATTTTCTTCATACTTACTCCGCCGGACAAAAAATTGTACTTGCACGTCGGGCCTGACCCAATGCAGATGGGTACTGTGTCTGCTTGCCGGTTTCATGCTCAGTGAGCTGCAAATAAACGTGTTGTAGTTAGCAACTCATTTATGCACATAGTTTTCATCGAATGAAGCTTCATCACCGGTTTTGAACTCAGTGGAATGGAATAATAATGGCTCCATCGGTTTAGATATCCCTGGATACACCTGGCATAATCTACCAATTTATAAAGAATATCAGTTCAGAATGCGGAAATTTGATGTCTTCCCTCGGAATTTGAATCAATGGGCTATGATCACATTTATACTGTCGGCTGGTAACCGAAACTCCGGATGAATAAGTATAGTGATTTACACATTCAGATTTACCAATGTTGCTTAAAAGGAATCTCTATGTAATTGTTTACCTTGAGGTACCTTGATGATCTTCAGTATGAACATATAATGGCGCATATTCAACATACACAAATCTGTAGCGAGCTCCCAAGCTTGAACTAGATTATAGATCACGCTATAAAACCTCGTGATACAGTATCCCCTTCAGTCACTCCGTAAACTGCTGTGGTCATCGGGTCATACTGCGATTTACTTTAGGAACAGGAGGTTTTCAGTTTTAAAAAAATGCCATGATTATTTGTGCCCTTGACAGAAAGTTTTGGTGCGCTTGCAGCTATTAATCAGTACAAGGGAACGAATGCAAGACAACCGGAAAAATCAAAGGTAAACCTGCATCAAGTCAGACGAAAATTATCCTCAGTCATGGCAAATAGTCCTGATATCTGGCCCTTGAAGAATGTCCAAAAGAAACATGACTGATAAGGCCAAAGACAAGAGTATATAATAAATTATTTAGTCGTTAGAAGTTGCTACCAAAAACACCAAGTACAATCTCCCATCAGTTTGGATCATCTCAGTGATCTAGTTGTTACACATTTTCACAGTAAACTGATGTTGTGACTTTCACGTCGTTCGTACAACAGACCCCTTGCACAATTTTGTTCATAACGGAAGACTCCTCTGAATCCCAGCTAAGTCCCTCGTCTATCGTGTTGTTCTTCAACCAAATGTGCTGCCAATAGGATAGCTCGCTTTGCAATTCGCACGACATTGAGGTACCACAAACAAGTTCGCTGAAAACTCCTCGACAGCCCATGACCGGTTTCACCCTTTCACTCGTCAAGTAAGCACAGTTACCGAGTTTCAACCTTATGTCGTACTTGAGCTCAATTTGGATGGCATTCGTGAAGTACGCTCGTTAGCATGCCAATATGAATGGGGAGACTACTGAATCCCGGATAAATACTTCGTTGATGATATTCTTCAAATAGATGGGCTCCACAAGGCCCGCTCAGTGAGTTTCAGTGAGTACACCGTTATATCCACCGTACTGATTGTTTGTGTAGTGGACAGCAGTGTACACGCAACTTTCAGCCACTCCGACAGACCTTTCTGTCAAATCAGACTTCAAGCAGAATCACACGGTCACATCATACTTGGGCGCCTAATTCAGCGCTTTTTTAATTGTGTCATAATTTTCTACTGCTATAGCACAGCATTGTAAGACGAACTGTATTCGAAAGCCTATTACGATGTTTGATCTGCGAAAAAGTTTTAAGAAATCGATAACATAGTTTAAACACAGCAGAGGAATCCTATTTATTTCTCAGAATTGCCAACACAGCCCCGAAATGAAGAATTCTCATTTAATTTACCGGTATGCGAAATTGGCTCAAATGCATCTCCTCATTGCAACTGAACCACGGAAAGTGCAGGAGGTTTTTTTGGCTACCTCGAAAAATTCATAAGTATTACACTCACCTTTAGGTACAGCACCAAAGCGCGGCAACAAATTCATGTAGAAGAGGCGAACCATAGGATGCAACGTTTATTGAATGATATGCACACATCTATTGGGGTGAAAGTGTTCCCTCTGTGCTACATTTGTGTACCAGAGTGACGAGAATATTTTGAGTAGGGTGGTGATCCACAAAATCAACTGCCGTTGAAGACACCCACAACGTGGAGATTTTATGGAGATTTCATGGGAAAGCTGAAAACACTGTGTTCCATCCATAGTGGGAATTATCAACAGGTCGCATCTAACAAGTTTCAAGTGAGTTTCGAACCCACAACATACCGGTCAGTGGTTTGAACACTTGAGTGGAGTCGGCCGAAACAGGCTAATTTCATCACACTACCAGCAATCTATAAGTAGCTTAGAGTAACTCAGAGAGTAGTTGAGTAAAATTCCCATTTGAGGAGTTGTCGCTCGACGAGCTGGTCAACACGTATGACTACCTGTCGTTGATCCCGTGACTGAAGAACGGACGGCGCTATATCCTTTGGAAAACGTTTGAGAAATCATCGCTTCAGGTGGGCTTGGTAAACAGTCGGCAGTTTAAGTGGGCAACGCGTGGTTTTTGACACAAAAGCTTCATCAGGCCAAGTGAGCAGGTCATCAGTTGGACCAAGTTTTAAAGCAAACGGAGACCACTACAGATTAGCACACTAGATCAGTGCTGAATGCCAATTAAAGGGGCTTGTCGGTTACTGTGTTTTCCCAAATCTTACGGGTTGAAAGAGATTCAAATTATTTTTTGTTCCATAATCTCTCACTTCAAGCTGCTGCAGTTGGATATCACCATCAGAGTTCGTCGGTCCGTGTGAGCGTGTGAGTGCTGCGATAGTTTTGCTGTGGAGGCGAAGAGTGGTGAGATTAGGTGTGTTTCAAAGCTTAACTACTTCTGTTGATGACTCCTCAATCTGATAACCGCATACCCCCACCAATCAGCTCTCGACTTATCCGAAACCATGCTCAACATTCTTGCCAGTTCTACTCCTTCTGTTCTATTTACACTGTGACTACTGGCGACTTTCATCAGTCTCTGTAGCGTGAACCGTAGTTCCCGCCTCAAAATTCAAACGTATTCCTTATCTGTTTTTGTCCCGTGTCCAGTGCATGTTCTGCCATTACTGAGTGTTTCAGTAATGCTCCCCTGTGCTATCCTTTTCTAGTGTGAAGTTCCTTGGCCGGCCGTCCCATGTGGATTGGGCTATCACACTAACCGACAAGCACCTTTAATTGGAATTCAACACTGATCTAGTCTGTTAATCGGATGAGGTATTAATGACTGCTTCCCCGTCTGCCTTGAAACCTGGCCAACTTAGTGACCTGCTCACTAGGCCTGGTGAAGCTTTTGTGTCAAATGCGAGAGGTTGCCCAGTTAAAAAGTTAACTGTTGTTCATCAAGCCGCTCTGAAACGAAGGCGCCATATATTGTCCAAATGAGAGCTAATCACGATACTGCGTTGAGCAATTGTGTAGAAATCTGATGGTAGCGTCTCTCTATTTCAAACCTACCGACTGCTTCAGAATTGTTCATAGCCACATCACTTTCATTTGAACGGCCGTGTTCCTGTTCTGGCCATTGGTTATGCACTGCTGATGGGCTCTAATAAGAGCAAAACTCGAGTCCAGTGCTTCCCCCCTTTGGTGTGGACTCACCGGAATAGTTACGCCAGAACAGGAACACGACCGTTCAAACGTGCATGGTGTGACTATGAACAAAACACCTAACCCGCAAAACCCCAAAATCGCTTTAGAATTCCCGTCGGCTGCTACTGGAGCTGTTGCATTTAATTGCAGTTATTGTGACTTTGGGGAG